CGGCTGTCGCTACGCAAGCAATGCCGAGCATGCTATGGGCCATTTGTGCCAAGGAATGCGAGGGACTCCCTGCCTCCATCTCCACAGCATACTGCCACGGTGCGTACCAGATGCTCCTGCTCCTCCACTCCTGTCCGCTGAGTGGAAAAACCACCCATTTCACTCAATAATTCCTGAGCACAAATGTCCTCCTCTACCTCCTCCTCTTCTTCCTGTCCTGCCCCCACAGGGGTCATGTGGCGTTGAGATCTGTGCGCCACGTCTACCGCACCCTGACCAGCCATTGTTAACAGCATTTGTTCCAGGACGTGCAACAGAGGAATGACGTCGTTCATCCCATAGTCCTGCCGACTCACGAATAGCGTGGCCTCCTCAAAGGGCCTGAGCAAGCGGCAGGTGTCACGCATGAGCTGCCAATGGCTGACATCGAAGTTACACAGGGGAGTACCTTTATCCGCTTGTAACATCAGGAAATCGGTGATGGCCTTTCGCTGTTCGTAAAGGCGGTCTAACATGTGTAGGGTTGAATTCCACCTTGTTGCAACGTCGCAGATCAGGCGATGCTGTGGAATTCCAGTGGGATGGTGGATTTTAGGAACCGCTTGACAACCAGATTGAACACGTGAGCCATGCATGGCGCATGGCACAACCTTCCTTGACGCAGAGCAGACACCATGTTCTTTCCGTTGTCGGTCAACATGGTTCCGATTTTCAGTTTGCGCGGAGACAGCCATCTGTCGATTTCTCTGTTCATTACACTGAGAAGTTCCTCCCCTGTGTGACTACGTTCGCCAAGGCATACCAGGTGCAGCACAGCGTGACACCGTTGCGCCCTGCACATGTGATATGCCGGTCGGGTAATGGGACTTGGCACGGGGGGTGGCGGCTGAGGACACGGCGGAAGAAGAGGTGGTAGAGGCGGACATCTTTGCCGGACCAAGGACGTGCAAACGTGGAGGCAAAAGCGGCGTGACCTGTCCAAGTTGCTGGTGCGGCTGTGACGGCACCACGTTCACCCAGTGGGCCGTAAATGACATGTACTGTCCCTGACCGTAGTTACAGCTCCACACGTCGGCGCTGCCGTGCACTTTGGCAGAGACCGACATGCTCAAAGACTGGCCCACCATCTCTTCTACATGTGAATGCAGGGCTGGCACTGCCTTTTTGGCGAAGAAATGACGGCTTGGCACTCTCCACCGCGGCGCGGCACAAGCCATCATTTCTCGGAAAGGTGCTGAGTCCACCACTTGGAAAGGGAGGGACTGCAGCACCAGCAACTTGGACAGGAGGACGTTCAGCTTTTGCACCGTCGGGTGCGTGCTCGCAAACTGTTGTCTCTTGGAAACGGATTCCAAGAAAGACTGCTGACGGAATCCGTGAAGAGGAGTAGCAGGAGAAGGAGCATCAGAACGAGCGGAAGATGCCAACGAGCGACAACTCCCCTCAGCAGAGGTGTTGGAGCCTTGACTGGCTGATAGAGGGCGATTGACGTCGGGTGACGGAGCAAGTAACGGAGCGGGTGATGGAGCGGGGGCTGGGGCGGCAGAACCGCCGTATCTTTATCACGGTTTTCCCAGGCCACCAAATGGCGACGCTGCATATGCTGCCGCAACGCTGTAGTCCCAACATGGGCCCCCTGGCCACGCTTGACTTTCTGGCCACATAGTCGACATACGGCTACGTTTACTTCCTCGGGCGGCTTGACAAAAAATTGCCACACCGCCGAGTAGGAAACTTTGCCCCCGATACTCCTCACTGGCTGACTGCTGCTTCCTCCGTGCACACCGGCACCACTACTGGCCGTGGTGGTAGGCTGCAGTGGAGCTGGTGCTGTACTCCGTGGCCGTTTGCCTCCACTGACACTGCTGCGACCCTGCTGCCTCCTGGGCAACCCACCGACTGTTTTGCTCGCTGCCAAGCTGCCACCCTCTTCTCCTGATGATGCGGAAGCAATAGCCTGATGACGACGAGGCTGCCAAGTGCGATCAGCCTCATCATCATCAATTAGGGTCTCCGCCTCACTACTAGCCCCCTCGGCTGCGTGTGGGTCAGGAGACAGACCTGTCTCTAGACCGGCTACCGAGCCACTCTCCTCGCCACTACTTCTTCGCCTGGCTGCTGAAGAGGCGGATGTCTCCCCCCGTTCCTGACCGCCCTCTGTTAGCTCTTCCTCACTGTACAGTGGGGCTGAGCCCACAGCATACGATACTTCGCTTGGTGAGGGAACACCAAAGGACAGGGGCAGGTCGAGGACACGTGATTTCAGTGGGCTTGCTCCCGGGCCATGCCAACTAACGGTTGTGTCTGACGTACCCACCGACCGTTGGCTGTAGGTGTCAGAGGTGACCTGGGAAGAGGAAGACGACCGAGCCAACCAATCGATGACGGCAGGGTTGTCGGTGGAGACACGACCGCTGGATGACACCGGGAGCACTGGCCTCTGGCTGCGACTAGTGCTGCCTCGACCCCTTCCTCTGCTGCCACGTCTGCTCGCTCCTAAAACATTGCCTCCTCTGCCACTCCTATGCATGTTGTCTGACATACTCTTTAATTAAACGATTCTGTGTCCCTGAGTAACAATTCTGTGTCTGTCCCTGAGTAACAATTCTGTGTCCCTGAGTAACAATTCTGTGTCCCTCAGTAACAATTCTGTGTCCCTCAGTAACAATTCTGTGTCCCTCAGTAACAATTCTGTGTCCCTGAGTAACAATTCTGTGTCCCTGAGTAACAATTCTGTGTCTGTCCCTGAGTAACAATTCTGTGTCCCCTGAGTAACAATTCTGTGTCTGTCCTCAGTAACAATTCTGTGTCCCTCAGTAACAATTCTGTGTCCCCTCAGTAACAATTCTGTGTCCCTGAGTAACAATTCTGTGTCTGTGTCCCTCAGTAACAATTCTGTGTCCCTGAGTAACAATTCTGTGTCCCTGAGTAACAATTCTGTGTCCCTCAGTAACAATTCTGTGTCCCTCAGTAACAATTCTGTGTCTGTCCCCCTGAGTAACAATTCTGTGTCCCTGAGTAACAATTCTGTGTCCCTCAGTAACAATTCTGTGTCCCTGAGTAACAATTCTGTGTCTGTCCCTGAGTAACAATTCTGTGTCCCTGAGTAACAATTCTGTGTCCCTCAGTAACAATTCTGTGTCCCTCAGTAACAATTCTGTGTCCCTCTGAGTAACAATTCTGTGTCCCTCAGTAACAATTCTGTGTCCCTCAGTAACAATTCTGTGTCCCTCAGTAACAATTCTGTGTCTGTCCCTGAGTAACAATTCTGTGTCCCTCAGTAACAATTCTGTGTCCCTCAGTAACAATTCTGTGTCCCTCAGTAACAATTCTGTGTCCCTCAGTAACAATTCTCTGTGTCCCTCAGTAACAATTCTGTGTCCCTCAGTAACAATTCTGTGTCCCTGAGTAACAATTCTGTGTCCCTGAGTAACAATTCTGTGTCCCTCAGTAACAATTCTGTGTCCCTCAGTAACAATTCTGTGTCCCCTGAGTAACAATTCTGTGTCCCTCAGTAACAATTCTGTGTCCCTCAGTAACAATTCTGTGTCCCTCAGTAACAATTCTGTGTCCCCTGAGTAACAATTCTGTGTCCCTCAGTAACAATTCTGTGTCCCCTCAGTAACAATTCTGTGTCCCTGAGTAACAATTCTGTGTCTGTCCCTGAGTAACAATTCTGTGTCCCTCAGTAACAATTCTGTGTCCCTCAGTAACAATTCTGTGTCCCTCAGTAACAATTCTGTGTCCCTGAGTAACAATTCTGTGTCCCTCAGTAACAATTCTGTGTCCCTCAGTAACAATTCTGTGTCTGTCCCTGAGTAACAATTCTGTGTCCCTCAGTAACAATTCTGTGTCCCTCAGTAACAATTCTGTGTCTGTCCCTGAGTAACAATTCTGTGTCTGTCCCTGAGTAACAATTCTGTGTCCCTCAGTAACAATTCTGTGTCCCTCAGTAACAATTCTGTGTCTGTGTCTGAGTAACAATTCTGTGTCCCTCAGTAACAATTCTGTGTCCCTCAGTAACAATTCTGTGTCCCTCAGTAACAATTCTGTGTCCCTCAGTAAACAATTCTGTGGCCCTAGTAACAATTCTGTGTCCCTAAGTAACAATTCTGTGTCCCTGATGTAACAATTCTGTGTCCCTGAGTAACAATTCTCTGTCCCTCAGTAACAATTCTGTGGCTGTCCCTGGTAACAATTCTGTGTCCCTCAGTAACAATTCTGTGGCCCTCAAGTAACAATTCTGTGTCCCTCAGTAACAATTCTGTGGGCCCTGAGTAACAATTCTGTTCTTTCTGTGGCCCTAAGTAACAATTCTGTGTCTGTGTCCCTCAGTAAGTAAAGCAGTAACAAATCTGTGTCTGTCCCTGAGTAACAATTCTGTGGCCCTAAGTAACGTTTCTGTGTCCCTAAGTAACAATTCTGTGTCAGTAACAATCTGTGTCCCTAGTTACACAATTCTGTGTCCCTTCAGTAACAATTCTGTGGCCCTAAGTAACAATTCTGTGTCCCTAAGTAACAATTCTGTGTGGCCCTAAGTAACGTTCTGTGGCCTGTAACGTTTCTGTGGCCCTAGTAACGTTTTCTGTGTCCCTAAGTAACGTTTCTGTGTCCCTAAGTCAGTAACAATTCTGTGTCCCTGCAAGTAACAATTCTGTGTCCCTCAGTAACAATTCTGTGTCCCTGACAGTAACAATTCTGTGTCTGTCCCTGAGTAACAATTCTGTGTCCCTAAGTAACGTTTCTGTGGCCCTAAGTAACGGTTCTGTGGCCCTCAGTAACAAATCTGTGTCCCTCAGTAACAATTCTGTGTCTGTCCCTAAGTAACAATTCTGTGGCACTAAGTAAACGTTTCTGTGGCCCTAAGTAAAGTTTCTGTGGCCCTAAGTAACGATTCTGTGGCCCTAAGTAACAATTCTGTGTAGTGGCCCTAAGTAACGTTTCTGTGGCCCTAAGTAACGTTTCTGTGGCCCTAAGTAACGTTTCTGTGTCCCTCAGTAACAATTCTGTGTCCCTCAGTAACAATTCTGTGTCTGTCCCTGAGTAACAATTCTGTGTCCCTAAGTAACGTTTCTGTGGCCCTAAGTAACGGTTCTGTGGCCCTCAGTAACAAATCTGTGTCCCTCAGTAACAATTCTGTGTCTGTCCCTAAGTAACAATTCTGTGGCACTAAGTAACATTTCTGTGGCCCTAAGTAACGTTTCTGTGGCCCTAAGTAACGATT